CTCCCCTCTCGCTCAGAGCCCCCGGCACCCCGCCTCTGCGAATACCAGGATTTCTGGGATCATCCCACTTATTTAGGGCAACTGGGGGCTCGGCCTCCCTCTGGTACAAGGCAGCTCCTGCCAGTGAGGGAATATGTTGTCAGAAGGCTCCAAACAAGTCCTGCCTGTCCCCATCACTACAGATGTCGCTGCGGTTTTCAACCGGGAGCCCGTTCACATGACCAGACTCTGCCTGACCCAGAGTGGAAAAGGTGCCCTTAATGCGAAGGTGTTTTTCCAGAAAATACATTTCTGCCAAGCTGAGCATCCAGGAACATCACTAGGGAGGAAACAAGACATCTCTGAAGCCATTTGAAGGTGGAAAAAAAAAAAAGTTCCATAGGAAGTACAATGATCTTAATTAAATATTAGCTGTAATTAGCCCAAAGAGCAAATGTTGGGAATATTAATTAGGGTCTCTCTGGGAGGACTGTCAGTGTTAATAAGTAACGGTGGGGGGTCCCGCCGACAGCTGTTGGCAAATCCGGGATCAAGAATGCCATCGGAAGCCCGAGGACCCGCATGCACCTGGACGCACCGAGGCTTCCTGGTGGCCATTGCTCAGGTGGCGTCTGGGCTGTGCCAGTCTCTGGGGAGGTCGGTGGTCAGTGCTGGGCTGCCCGCCCTCGCCTTTCCTCGGGTGGCCCCTCCCGAGCCCAGCTTCGGCCTGGAGAGGGCGGAGCTTTCCAGGCGCCTGCTCTGCGCTGCCAGGACGCCCCTCCCCCACCTGTGCTTCCTGCAGCCCAGCACCGCCATGCCCGCTCCCATGGGTCACGCCCACCCACCGGGTTTAGGGCCAAGGTGCATAGGTCAGAGAGAGGTGTTTTAGCTCTTGTGTAAATTGGGAACAGACCTTCCCGTCAGGGTCCAGATGAGGCCGACGCACACCATTTGCTTCAGCTCCTGGCTAAAGAGGTAGCACCCTGCAAGAGATGCCACCTTGCAAAATCATTTACCTTTGGACCTTCGCGATAAAACGAAGTGTGGTCAGGATGCTGCGCACAGAGAGCAGGATTCTAGATGTCGGCTCTCTTACCACCCCGGCTTCAAAGCTTCCTTTGGGGGTCGCCGGCCGCTATGTAGTGTAGTGTGTTTACTGCTTCCCCAAGCACCAGGGTCCAGATGCCAGAAGCACCCTTTCCTCTCCAGGAGCCCCAGAGCCACGAGTGGCTCTGGCCAGTCACTAATGGCCTCTGGGGGTGGGGGCAGCCACCGCTGTGTAAGAGCTACTGATGTGAAGCACCCGGCACAGCGCCAGCACCCGGCCCTTGCCAGGTCACCACCCAGACCCGGACGCCACCGAGCAAGCCCTGGTGCGGCGGGACCCAACGGTGCCCGCCCACCTGCGGAGTGTGCAGCCAGCGCAGTTTGCGCCCAGGGTGGGGTGATAGCCCCAAGGAGGTGCGGCTGCGGGCCTGCTGCCCTCCGACTGCCATGGACAGTCTGGCTGGCAGTTTCCCTCTCCGCTTCGCTGCTGGCTTTAGTTCCTGCCCTAGCTGCGCGAGGATGCTTCATCCGTGTCCCTGCAACCCCTGGTGACGCTGCCACTGCAGTTTGAAGACTTAATGCCTAGGGTCAGATACTGCAATAGCTAGGCTCTCAGACCCATCCAGGCTCTGGCACAAAGCACAAGGCGCAGGGCCTCGTGCCAATAAAGCTTTATTTATCCGACTAACCCAAGGGCCAGATGTGTCCCATGGGTCACTGGCCAATCCCTCACTGTCTTTTCCCACACTATCTCCTGTTGCCTAAGACAAGAGTCCCGGCTGTTTGTCCAGTACATGTTCACTTAGCAAGCACACAGGCCCCGTGGGACTCTGGACTGAAGGGAGGACCTGGCCTGGCTCCTGCTCACAGCGAACGCCCACAACTAAGCAGCACTTGGAGTGATGTTGTTACAGGGCACCCAGTGGGATTGGGTCGCCTGTAACAGTTTTGGCACCCAACACGGGGCCTCACCCATGCGCTTAAAATTCAGTTGTCCTGCAGACGCACACAAAAGGGTCAAAATGGGTTTATTTACAAAAAGGGGAAAAGAACAGGAAACAACTGGAATATCTTACTGGCTGGGCCGACTTGGAGCGCTGTTAACAAACTAACTAAAAGCCCCGAGCCTCCGGTCCAGAGAGTCATTTCCTGAGCAATGGGGCCCTATTTATCCCCCAAAGTCCCAGAATTCCTGCTAGCTCCGCCCTTGGGTCCTCGCAGTTCTCTCCCTGGTGTTGCTGGGAGTTGTAGTTTCTAATCACTGGAGTAGGGGGCGGGGTCCAGAAAGCCAGAGTAGGGGGTGGGGTTCACAAGACTCTGCAGAGCTCCTTCAGGACATCCTTCCCCTTAACAAAGTCAGATGTGGTCCCATGCTGGCTCGGTGCGTGTCAAGGAAGGCTTCCAGGAGGAGGCCACTCTCCACCTGGGTCCTGGAGACATAAGAGCCTGAGCAGGCCCGGGAGTAAGGGAGACTTTCCCAGCAGCCGCGGAGGCGTGATGGTATCCAGACACAGACCCCTTTTCCCTCCAGCACAGAGAGTGCTAACACTGCATCCAGCACCTCCAGGAAGACCCTGCTAATATTTCACTGTCAGCTTTACCCCTGGCTGACTGCTGCTCTGGGAAGACCCTCTTCAAGCTGCAGTCTGGGAGCTGCAGGTGGACATTATTTTTGTCTTTATTTTTTACATCATTCTTTGTGCATTTTTTCATCTTGGTTGCAATCCCCGTGGACTTCCCACCACCAATTCACCCATGTGCCATCACATAGTCCCATGTGCTCTTCCCACCCCAGTTTTGATCCTATTCCCCTCTCCATCCCTGTAAAATGTCTCTGGCATATTGTTTTTCATTTTGACTGTATTACAATTGTTTCCCTCCCCCCATCCCCTATACTCCTGCCATGAGTGAAACCATCCAGTATTTTTCTTTTTCTTTCTGGCTTATTTCACTGAGCATGATTCCTTCCAGCTGCATCCATATTGCTGCAAAAGGCATGTGTTTATCTTTTTGATTGCTGAGTAATATTCCATTGTGTATATGTACCATGTCTTAATCCAGTCATCTATTTTGGGGCATTTGGGTTGATTCCATGCCTTCCCTACTACAGAGTAGCAATAAACATGGGGGTGCAGGTGTCCTTTTGAGCCAATGTTTTTTGTGTCCTTTGGGTAGATCCCTAGGAGTGGGGTTGCTGGGTCTGATGGAAGCTCCATTTTTAGCAGTTTGAGAAACCTCCACACAGCTTTCCATAGTGGTTATAGGCTGATTACTTTTATAGCCACAGTTACAGTGGAAAGAGACCTCCTCCCTCAAACTACAGCAAAAATCTCAAGATCAAACCTCCCTGGTGTTTCCTGGACCTCACTGTATGCATGGATGTGAACCCCTATCCGGAGACCCAAGAGTGGATACCTCAGTGTGCAAGGCGAGGTCTCAGAGCAGAGCCAGTCAGGCTCAGCCACACTGCCTGGGACTGGAAGGTTCCCCTGAGGCACTGAGTGTGTCCTTGAAGAAAGATGTGAGCCCCCAGCCCCAGCTGCCTTGACAAGCAGCATCCTGGGAGGTCCCCAGGGATGGACAGGGCTCCCTGCTCACATTCAGTGGCACACCAAGCCCAGCAACGACGGACCCCACCAGCCTCAAATGCTGCAGAAAGCTGTTGGAAGGAGGGGCCTGCATTCTTGTTTCCACTGGTGCAGATATTTGGAGAGATCAGTCTGGGGGAGGAAAGGGATGTCTTCACTTGTAAAATGTTTTTAACTTATCCCCAGCTTCTCTGTCTTCCAAGTGTCATCTTTAACATTCTAATTAAGGCCCTCTCTACACAAATGTGCCTGCTCTGTGCCTGCATGTGAGAATAAACTCATCCCTCCCGACCCTGTACTTTGATGCTTCAGCTGAGGAGCTCTGGAGACCTGGTAGCCGGGACTGAGGACGTGAGCCATTGTGACATCTGTGTCCTGGTGTCACCTTTTGAGGCTAAAGTCGCTACTAATTGACCACAGACAAGGAGGGGAGCTATTTGGTGTGCTTAATTGCTTGGTCTTTCTCTTACTGTGTGGCCTCTCTCTTGAGACCGTGGAAAATTTGGACCTCTGGGTTACAGTTTCTGATGCCATGGTGTGTGCACGGGGCGGGTGTGTGTGGTGATGAGGTGTGGGGGTGGGTTGGAGGTGGGAAAGATAGATGTTTCCTGAAATGGAAGCATTTAGATTCAGGTCTTGTTTTTTCTTGTTTTTGTTTTTTTGTTTTGTTTGTTTTTCAAAATTCCTTTGATTAGACTGTAACGATCACACTGCATGTTTTGCCTAGATCTGAAGGGAGGATTGTTATATAATACTCTGTGCCGATAAAAAATCAGCGGGGGTTGTGGGGGCACTGACTAACGAGACTAAGAGTTAAGTCCAGGATTTTGCAGAAATACTTGGGGTGGGGATATCAGGGACGCCATCTTTCTCTCTCTCTCTGTCTGTCTCTCTCACGCACACATGCACACTCCACTGTGGCTATTCAGAGGTGCCCCACCCCCTTATCCGAGCCAAGTCACATCCAACTTGGATTCAATTCACTGCTTAGATGAGTTCTCTCTCCTCGCAAGAACACATGCCATTTCATCTCTCTTGGCATTTGAAGGATCGGGTCAAGGTTGTGCAGTCACGGTAGACTACTGCTCCCGCTCCCAGCGGGAATGATTAGAGGATACTGGGAGGGCCCAGCCCCGGGGCTCAGACCCCTGCTCTGACTCGGGCAGGGTGGCTTAGGGAAGGCATCGCCTCGTTTCTGCTTGGGTATAAAGGGGTTTCTGACGGTGGTGCGCCGGGCATGTCAGGTGAAGGTGAATGGGGAGGGCCACCTCATGCCCTGGACAACGGCTGCCTCCAAGTGTCCAGAGCCATGGCCCTAGCTCCGGGGAGGTTCTCTGGGTGCCGCTCACCTTTTCCCTTCTCCCCCCTCCCCTTTGGCTTTTGCAGGGTAATCAGGAAGCAGCCGCCGCCCCGGACACAATGGCTCAGCCTTACGCCTCGGCCCAGTTCGCCCCCCCTCAGAACGGCATCCCCGCGGAATACACGGCCCCTCATCCCCACCCCGCGCCAGAGTACACGGGCCAGACCACCGTCCCCGAGCACACGCTGACCCTGTACCCTCCTGCCCAGTCGCTCTCGGAGCAGAGTGCCGCCGACACCAGCGCGCAGACTGTCTCCGGCACCGCCACAGTAAGTGGGTGCTGTCTCGGGAGCGTGCGGCCGCAGCGGGGTGCCCCACCTGTCCATGGGGGCGCCTGCCCTCCCAGGGTCCCTGCTCCACACCAGTCCTATGCCCTTCCCTGGGTTCCCTATCTGCAGGCGTCCTCCTCTTTATCTTCAAGTCCATGGGCTTCCTTCCCCACATCTGTGTGCAAAGGGGGATTCCCGATGCCACCTGCACCTGTCGTTTCCCTTCCCTGGATCACTGACTCCATCTTGGTGGAGTCAAGCACACTGGCTTGATGGAGATGGGCCATGAAAGTCACAGCTATTTTAGGAGTACTGTTCCCTGATCTTTAGTGGATTCACAGAATTATGCAACCATCACCACTGTCTAGAATTTTCCATCACCCTCAACAGATCTTGGACATGGACAAAGGCCCCCACCCCTCCCCAGCCCTTTCTGACTTAGCCCAGTGCACCTGCTGTTCAGCCGTGTTCTCAGAACAGGACCTGGCTCTTCCTTTTCTACTGCTGAGCCCTGGGGTGGCACAGACTTGGCTTGCAAAGGAGCAACAGGAGGGAATGTTGCAGCTGGTGGGTCTTGTCTGTATTGGTGTTAGTGGTTATAGACTTCTAAGCCCCAAAAGAGCACATTTTTTTTTTGCATGAGAGTGGGTTTGCTGTATTAAAAAACAGAAAACAAGTCAAAAGAACAGTTTTTGCCACCCTAAGTGAAGACTAGCATCAATGGCTATTGATCAGAAATAACCCAAGCAAAATGACTTTTAAAATTAAATAATGCTCATTTGCGTACCATCTCAATTAGTCATCATACCTCAAGGTGCATGTGTATGTTTGCGAATCTTGCTGTGCTGAATTCTTAGGAAGCTTGTGCTCACAGGGCTCAAGTCCAGAACACATCCTAGGGACCAGGTAATTTTGCCTCTTTCTCCTGTCCCCAGACTTCTGGATAACCAATATTTGTGGAAAAGTTTGTTGTTTTGAAGCATGGCTTATTTCTTATGACTAGAAGTAACCATTGACTAACTTTTCAACTGGTACTTTGGAGGCTTGGATAAAGATTTAAATATATATATATTTAAATATATATTTTAAATATATGTATTCATTTAAATATATATATATATATATTTAGACGGTGTGTATGTGTGTGTGTATATGTATATATATATATATATATATATACAGTCTAAATTTTTCTTCATTCCCTCTTTTATTGTGGTAAAATATATTTGTAACATAAATTTACCATTTTAGCACATATAATTCAGTGGCATTAAGTATATTCACAATTGAGTGCAATCATTGATATTACTTACTTCTAAATATTTTCACCACCACTCCCAAAGCTTCACACCACTACACAGATAGTCTCCATTTCTCCCTCCCTGGTATCCCTGGAAACCATTAATTTGTCCTGTCTGAATGGATTTGCACATTCTGGATAGAATCATATAATATATGACCTTTGTGTCAGTCTTAGTTCACCTACACTAATATTTCCAAGGCCCATCTATATTGTAACATGTATTAATATTGCATTCTTTTTCATGACTGAATACTATTCCAATACCTGGATTAGATTGCCTTTAAAACATTCTTTTATTCATAGATTTTCACTGTTGTGAATAGTGCTGCTATTGCCTCTTTGTTTTGGCTGCTGTGTGTTAGGGATGGAGCCATCGTATGGCTTGGTTGTCTTAGAGACTGTTTATTGTTGTGTTGATTGCCAGGTGGAGTGATAGAGCTGTTCAGCTTTTTATTGGTTATTTTATGATAATGGTGGTAGGGCTTGAGGCTAATTTAAGATTAAAATAGGTTCAATCAGGCATTAGTAAGCTTCCACATGTGCCAGCCATACTAACTTTTGTGGAAGATCCATCTACTCACTCACAGTAGCTATTAAACATCTACTGGGGGACAGGATTCAGATTAGGTGCTGCAACAAGAAGAAGTAGTCCTCCTCTCTTGTAAGTAGTGTGGAGGCAGAGTGAGAAGGTGGGTTGACCATATAGCTGCATTAACACATTGTGGTTCATGTTCTTAAGGAAACAAGAACTTGGGGAGTTTAAACATAGCAGAGGTGCTGCCTGCAAATGGTTAGTCTGGGAACATTTCATTCAGTAGGGGGTTTTTAAGGTGAGAAGACAAAGCTTTCTACAAGGAATACAAGGTAAAAGGTCCTGAGGTTGGAAGAGCTTTGCTTTTCAGAGAACTAAAAAGAGACGAACAAGTGTGGGGCCTCTGAAGTGATTTGTCAGTACAGGGCATGGAGGGGAGGTGAAGGTCTGTTGGGTTCTGTTAGGACTTGGAATTCCACCTTAGAAGCAGTGGCAAGTCATTGAAAAGATTTTGCAAAGAGTTATAAAATGAAAATTTCAAAGAAGGGATTAATTATGCTTACCTTAAAAGGAATCGACCCAGCTGGGGAGGTGAGATGATTGGCTTCCTCCTCTCTCACACGTCACACAAAAACTCTTAGCAAGCAACACAGTTGAGCTTACAAACCCTGTTGGTTGTCTGTCTTGCCTGTGCAGGGTAGTGAACAGACATACTGTCTTTCCTCAAGGAGCTTTTCATCTACTAGTGAGCACAGAATGTGTGTTCTGGGAATTATCGTCCCGTGGCAAGTTCTACAGCCTGGGTCTTCAAGGCTTTGCCTTTACGGTGCTAGAAGAATATTCTTTCTAAGGAATCTATCTCACCCAACACCATGATTGAGTAAGGAGGAAACATTTCAGAGTCTTCTGGTTGCTAGTATCAGAAAACTCAGGAAGGAACGTGTTAGTCCATACACAAAACCCAGGAGGAAAGTTGATTTTAGACAAACCTGGGTTTGGTCGTAGACCCATTGGGCACCAACAGGACCCATCTTTGGTCTTCTTCCTCTTGCTTAAATCCTTTCCCTAATCCTGTGTGGTGGCCAAGAAAAGCTCAGGTTCTTGCCATTGTAGCAGATCCGAAATAGCAGGCTTTTGGGTCAGTCCCACACACCTGAGAAAACTATCTCTGCCTGGTTTGCAGGGTATTCTAGTAGTTCAGGGCTCGAGCAAAAATTGGGTGGTGCAGCCCCAGGGCTGTTAAGTCAATACCCAAATACAGGAACTAAGGATGGTTCCATCAGAGTCAGTGATGAGATACCTTCAGAACTTCTCCTTAAAGATCTTCATGGGTAGAAACTGGTCAGAGCTAAAGACAGGAGGGCAGAGCAAAAGGCGGGAGGGTGGAGCTAAATGCAGGAGGGCGGTGCTAAACGCAGGAGGGCGGAGCTAAATGCAGGATGGCGGGGATAAACGCAGGTGGGCGGAGCTAAATGCAGGATGGCGGGGATAAACGCAGGAGGGCGGAGCCGCGGGTGGAGGGGCTTGAATCTATAGAGTTGCCAAATTAGGACAAGAACAGATCTTTGGAGGACTCTTAGGCAGTGATGTTTGAGAGGAAAGGGACCTGCAGACTGGGGCTGTAGCGGGAGAGTGAATTCAGGGGGCCCTGGCAGATGTGAACAGATGCTGGCAGTGGGGACATCTCTGTGGACCAGGGAGAGACAGTGCTGCTGGGGGGAAGGGCGCCAGGACACGTGGCTTGAGGCCTCCCTGGAAGTATGCAAGGAGTGCATAAGCCCCATGATAAGTGTTTGGAGTGAAGGACAGAAAGCAAAGATGGCAGTGGAGGAACACCGAGGTCAGAGAGAGCAGTTAGTAGGAGAGCTGGTTTCAGCTTGCTCTTTTATGCTGAGAAGACCCCCATGGGTGGGAGGGGGACAGAAAGGGGAACAGGGAGCAAGAGCTGGAGGATGATGACTCAGGAAAGAAAGTGACGGTGTTTTAGAAGGAGTGCGAAGGAATGTGATCAATGGTGTATAGATCCGTGGACAGTAAGGAAAGAAATAATGTTTACAATTTATCGGCATACAGTTGACCGACCATCAACTGCTCTTACTTAATGTGTGAAGTGCTGACATGTGTCCGTGTGTGGCTGTACACACAGGTGCTGCGATAACACACATCCCTCCCCATCAGTATATCCTTGTACCCCTCTGGCACCTTCCGCCACCTCACCCCGTCCGCAGAACTGCTTTTCTGACAGCTTTGTCCTGTTTCCCAAGTTTTATCTTAGTGAGCTCAGGTGAGCCACGCCCACACCATCCTGTGCCTGGATGCCCGAGCGTGGCTTCCTTGCGGCTCCTTTGCCCAGACGTGCGGTACCTGGGGGACCTGCCGCCTGGTGTGGGTGTGTTCACTGTGTGCGTGCCCTGGCCGTTTTCAGATTCACCCTCTACAAACAGGGCACCCGCGGACATGTGGAAACACCAGGTTTAAAGCAGAAGGGAATGTCTCGGTCCTTTCGAACCCTTACAATGTGACCATGCGCTTGGTGCAGACTGGCTGAGCAGAAGCATGAACATTCTGTTCACGGGCCTGGAAGCTGTAAGCCCAGGGCCAGGGCACTGGCTTTGTCCAGTGAGTGTCCACTGCTGGCACCTTCTCAGTGTCCTCAATGGGTGGAAGAGCCGGGGACCTGGTCGTGGTGAGGACAATGACCCCATTCCTGAAGGCTCCTCCCATCACTCCCAAAGGCCCCACACCCTGACCCTCTAACCTGGGGCTCCAGGAGCCCAGTGAGCACACTGGGGAGAGGGTACAAGCACCCAGACATGCCGGGGGAGGGGTCCACCTGTGACGACTTGGAAATCTTGAATCAAGAGTCGCCTCTTGATTCCAGGCGAGGCACTTCTTCCCAGTCGTCAGATTCTGGAACAGTGTCGTCAATGATAGACCGAGAACTGGGGGGCCGGACACAATTGCAGGGCTCCTGAAGCCGTGCAGAGGTCAAGAAAGCGGATCAGATGCCTCTGGGGGTGTCTGTGTGGCCATGGGTGCCTCTGAGTTTGGAGAGTGTGAACTTGTGGCTGGCGGTGTCTTGCCCTCTCCGGCCACGCTCGCACTGTCCAGAATGTGTCGGGAAGCCTGAGGACCACCGTCGGTGGGAGCCTGAAGGCAGTGTTG